CTTCTAAGTCCACCATCTCTTCTCACCCTCTCGCCACCTGACTTCTCAGACTACGACAGAGAGAGAAAGAGTTGTGACTTGAGACTTGACGACATTGGATCCAGACTGGACATTGGGATTCAGACATTTCGACGAGGGACTATTTGGGCCTGTACCGAGACTTGGTGTTGACGACATTCCCATCTTCCCCTCCTCTTTCGTCTAACCCCTCCTTCCTCGTCTGTGTATGGTTGGGGCTGGCGCAGTCTTCTTGTGTGAAGTTCCAGACCCCCTTCACACCAGATAACGATGATGATGATGAGTGTTCAGGGCTGCTTTGCAAGATTGATTGTTCGGATCATTCGTATCTAAGTCTTCCGCTGTGTTATCTTGTACGTTGTATTGAGAGGTCGGTTCTTGTTCTGGTCTGCACGTTACAGTATGCAACACTCTCTCTCTCTTCTACAAACGAAACGGGAATGCATGTTCCCGCGAAAGCTGGAAGATGCATTCCCGTTTCGTTTTTCGAAACGATAGCGGGAATCGTTTTTCTTATTTCTTTGTTTTTTTTTTTGTTTTTTTTTTGCCCGTTTTTTTCGTTGTGTACGTTGCACGTTCGGGATGGCTGCGCCCGGTAGTCCGAGCCTCCGCATGGATCGGCCTACCGGACGGCCGAGGCTCGGACTCGATAGCTGGGCCAGGTACTGGTGGTTTAACAACCGGTAGGTACTGGTGGTTTAACTGGGGTTAGAGGGTAAGGGATCGGATGGGGTCAGAGGGTCAGGGGGAGGGCTGGAGAAATACAATGTGATTTGACGCGGTGGTACAGTGCGTGAAATACCCTTGAAGGTTAACTGGGGTCAGAGGGGAGGGGAGGGGAGGGGAGGGGATAGGTGCAGAGGGGAGGAATAGTGTGGATGGGATGAGATTGGAAGGGGCAGGGTGGTGGATGCAAGACGGTGTTTGGCGAATGGAACGGAATGGGAGAGTGCAGACGGAGAAGAGGGGAGGGGAGGGCATATGGATTGGAAAAAAAGAACAGGCAATGGAGTGGAAACAGGCAGGGAGTAGCTAATGGGCAGTCAGACCGGCTGAGGTGTTGAGGTGAGGCGGGGATTGTATGGATGCCTGTATGCGTCTTTTTTTTGTTTTTCCTTTTGTCGGCCTGTGCGAGTTACTCCAGGATTCATTTGTCTCTCTGTTTGTTCTTGTAGTGTCGTCTGCAAGTTCAAGCAAAAGCGGCGGGGATGAGTGCTGGGTTGGCTGGTGGTGTTCTCTACTCAGGGCCTTTGGACTGTGTGAAGAAGACCCTTGCAAGCGAGGGGGTGAGTTAACTTCTGAATTTTCCAGTGGTTTATGCCCAATTGGTTATTGTGACCAAAATGATACGTGTGCTTGATATATGTTATCTTTGGGGATTACTGAATGGTTTCCAGTTGCTGGTTAACTTGGTCTGTTGCCCTTGAAGGTTAAAATTGAGATTAACTACGGAGGCTAAATCTGAGTCAAAAGCAAGGGGCTTCAGTTAACTTTTGTGGTTATGAGAGGTTTGAGCCACAAGTACGCCCGCACCTGATTTAAACGAAGGTGAATTTCACTGCGTGATGAGGTTTGCCGAGCCTGGGTCCCGTTGTAGTTTCTTTTTTGGTACTCCGACGAGATGAACAACGTAAAGAAAAAAGGAAACAACAAAACAAAAAATGCAACAGAGGACGAGAAAGCAGTCGGATACAGAATCTGGCAGAATCTGTCGTCAGTATGAGAGTACGCCCTCAGTGAGGGCGTTACAGCTACGCGCTCATCACGGAAGTTACTCTCAGAAATGAAAAAAAAAAAGGCAACAACAGTATGGATGTGAAACAGTTAGATACAGAATCTGGAGTATATGCCCTTTTTGACAAAGTGTCAGCAGTCCGTGCACTGCTCCTTGCCTCGCTGGCAGGGCAACTAAAATAAATCAAAAGAAGAAGAAAACAACACAAACAACGAAAGCCAATACTGGCCATAGTTGCAGGTAGATTCGTTCCTGAGTGCACTAGTGTGAGCACACCTCCTTCACGACCTTCCCCGATGTCGTTCCTCTCTTTGCAGTTGCTTCTTTTTTTTTCTTCTGCTTCCTGGTTTTGGAGGGGGTCCATACGGTCTGAACATTATCTTACCGCCGACCCTGCCCCTACCCCCGATCTGTTCGGAATGAGTCGTCTGCAATGAATTTCGTTTGCCTGGGCGGTGTACTTGTGGATTGTTTAAGCAAAGAAAAGGCAAAGGAGCAAAGGACCCATGTTTAGATTCTCTAAAGACGAAGTTCGATTCTCTCGATGAGAGTGTGTCGGTTTTCTTTTCTTTTTTATTTGTGTTGGTTATGTTTTGAAATTTCAAGTCAACCTTTTTGTATTTATTCGGAGAAGAGGGTAAGTGAACTCCATTTTTGTGCTGCTGATCAGCTTAGCCCTGGTTAACTGGGTCAATTACCCAGTTACCCTCTTGAAGGTTAACTGGGGTTAGTGACAGAGGTGAACTCAATCCAATACTTAGGGTGCACTGTGTTTGGGTGGAAGACGGTAGCAGCAATGCTACCTAGTTGTTCTCGTGCCAATGCATGTAGTCCACTGTTAGTTCCGTGCGGGACTGCATTGTCAAGTTTTTTATCATAGCAGTTAACAGGCAGTTTTAGATTCAGTTAGCTTTTGGAAGTTCACTTAGTTCAGATAAAAAGCCATAGGCTCGGCAGCAGTACTTTGAAATTCCACTTCACTTCCTAAAGGATCCTAAAGGAACTGACCCTCCTAAAAAGTGAAGACTCCTCTTTGTGGTTCCATTTTGTAGTTCCACTATGTGCTTGTATTTGAACATGCGGACCTTCCCGGACAGGCGTCCTATGCGCTTGTACTTAGACATGCGGGCCTTCCCTGACAGGCCTCCTATGTGCTTGTATTTCAACATGCCGGCCTTCCTGGACAGGCCTCCTGTGTGCTTGTATTTGAACATGCGGGCCTTCCCGGACAAGTTTCGTAGTTCCACTCAGCAGCCTTCCCGGACAAGGTTTGTAGTTCCACTTGTTGGTTCTGCTTGTAGCACCACTGGAGTCTTGCTGATGTTGTTGGGTGGCAGGCGCTAGTAAGTGATCTGACTCGCTTGCGCCAAAGTTCTTGATGGACTTAGCTGGTGGGTGAATAATTGTTGACGAGATGCATTTGCCTTACAGGCAGATTACCATAAAAAATAGATAACTTTTTAATCGCTTGTAATTTTTGTGAAAATTCACCGGCCTTGTTTGACGTGGTTGGATGTTTGGAACACAATGTGGACAGACTGGCTGATTGTTGCTGGTTGGGTATCATGTTGTTGGTTGGGTAGCTTTTGTGTCGACCTTTTTCTTTGAATGCTGACACATTTAGGGGTGGGAAAGAAGTGGGGTGTGGTTTGGCTGGCTGGATGAAGGCCCTCTGCCTGCCATGCTTTTATGTGTGTGTTTTTTGACTGTGTTGCTTCGGAACACCGGATTTCCAGCAAAGGTGCCAAAGTGAGAGTTTGGTGAGCGCCAACATGAATGCATCTTTTGAAAACTTTTTTTGAGAAGTGCAAAATGGAACTCGACTGCAGCAATGCGTCCCAAAAAGGGTCACCAAATGAGCGGACGGGGTTTCAATTTTTATGGTTTTCAACTTTTCAATCATCAGGGGCTCTGACTCTTGAACACAGCAAGGTTGTGGTCCTGTTTTTTTTTTTTTTTTTTTTTTTTTTTTTTTTGAGGAGCTGTGGAGTATCTTGCTATTTGTTGATTGGGCTCATTTGTGGCTGGGTTGCATTCTTTGTTATCTGTTTGTGGTTGACTTATATCACTGTTTTGTTTTTTTCCGGCTTTGCATTTGCAGGTGAGAGGCCTCTTCAGAGGAGGGCTGGCAACTCTCACAAGGGAGGCAATAGGGAACATCTTTTTCTTTGGAACGTACGAGGCCGTCCGATTTCGCATGCTCCGCGCAATAGGTGCCGATCCTGACCGCAGACGGGTGCCCGTCCTGCCAAGTCCCAATGGCGAGCTCCAACATGTCTTTGGTGAGCCTGACCCTCAGAGGTTGCCATATGCTGAGCCAGGAATCGTAGTAGAAACAACCAGCTGGGGGCGTCTCCTCAAGGATATATTGGCGGATGCTGGGACGGGAATCTTGAGCGGTGGATTAGGTGGAATGATGGTAAATGTCACAACTGGCGAAAGCTCCTTTCCAGTTTTCTCCTCTTTTAAATCTTTTTCCTTTTTTCCTTAGTTTTAAAAAGTTATCCGTGTACCTAGTGCAAGGAGAATGAGCAATAGCGAAATGACAGAATTCCAGACTGCAAAATCACACTGAAAGCCAGATAGTCGTAAGCTGTCCAGAAAGCAGAAATGCACTGATTCAACACCAAAGGAGAACCAAAGCAGCGAACTCAATTGTTAGAGAAAGCATACTCTCGCCACCACCAAACAGTGCAACCGAAGCTTTTCCCCCTATTGGCGCTCAGCACTCAGAATACGATTCTACAGCTACTCTACTGGCCTACAAAGCGACGAAGCAACCAGTTGACGTCGCAACCCAAGTACATGCAGATGCTGACCATGCAGACCTCCGCCAAGACCAGGTACGTGCCCTCACATCACCTCCCTCACTCGCCCTTTCTTGCTCAACCCCGTCATCTTCTCCCACGACTCCACACCAACCGAGAACCACCGCCGATCCCCGCCAGCCTTCTTCCAAGCCCGAGCCCGGCTATGGGGGCTGGGCTACGGCACTGCCTGATTGCAGTGCCCTCACAGTCGCGGTCGCGCTCGCGCCAGGCACTAGCGCTAGGCAGCAGGCACGAGCGAACCCTCCAGCAGCGCTGCCGCTTGCACAAACAAGTGCCCGAATGCCTGATGCTTGGCCCGACACTTTTCTATATGCAAAGTGGCCTGACTGGTTGGCTGCCTGGCCTGGCCTCGCACGTGCCCAGTAGCTTCAGGTTGGGCCAAAGTGTCTGCGCCCAGGCCCATTCAGATAGTGGCCTAGGACCGAATCGGTTAGGCATGCCCAATCACCTAGGCGCAAACGTGCGGTGTTCCCTGCTTCCCCTGCGTTGTTGGAACAGCCTAGAAGGCTCACAAATATTTCTGATTCTCACGAGAAGGGCGGATGTAACCAACTGGGGTGCGGCAACTGTCTTGCCCCCACCAAAATTTTGCAAAATTGATGTTAGGGCAGGCACATGCTTGCTGTAGGGGCCACTTACAGGTATGTCGAGTGCTCATACCCTCGCACTAGCCAACGGGCTCAGTTGGTACACGAATGAACTGTTGAAATACAGACGTAAGCTCGAATCCCGATGGAACTACTTGAACGAGTGTCTGAATTACCTGGGGCCGGTCAGTTCCACGATGATATCTCTAGGGCGCCCTTATGAAACAGGAAATAAAGAAGGAAAAGTTATCCCCGTACAAGCCACTGCTCGTTCGCTCTTCCTCCCAACTAATGCAAATGTGGCCTCTCTCGGTCCACCAACCAGTTTTCATCAACCTCTAATTGTTTTCTTTACTGACCACTCTGAAAAGTTTGTTGCTTATAATGCAAGGTTGCCTTCTCTACGATCGGAAAGGGCGTTGATCCTCTTTACAACAAAGTGCAATGACTTGCTGTAACTGTCACCGGTGACCCGTCGACCCGAGGCTGTAACATAGGTAGGTTAGATTCGTTATTTTGTTTGGCTGAGGGCTAACCGAGAGACCTGCCTGTAAGGGAAATTCGTGAGGGACATATCTGCAAATTCGGGAAAATATAGGCCCACATTAACTAGAATTTCCTACAGCTACCCTAACTGTGAATAGCAGGCCCGGTGTCGAAGAGCGGCGCGCCGCGTCAACGTATAGTTGACTCGTCGCGGCCAGCCTCCGCACCATAGGGCTGCATGTGGTCACGATCAGCAGAATGTTGACACGCTGGTTTGGCCCTTGGGTCGAGTCAGCGGGCAAGACGGCGCGACGGTCCAGCCCCATGGAGATCGAATCACGGCTTTTGGGCTGAACCGCCACGTCTGCAAGGGCCAGATTAAGAAGGCCCGGTCCGAACGGTACTGAAAATGGACCAAGGGTTAGTGAGAAAAATAGAATTGACCACTTGGGACCGGACTTATCGCGTTGGGAAGAGTATGGCCCGAAATAGTCAAGGGGAACACAGGATTGGGCCCCTTATTATGATTAAGAGGGGTGTTTTATTTTAAAAACAAGGCCGACCCTTAGTATTCCAAAGTCGGGCCAGCCCAAGCCCGACACTAATTTTAGCATTGCTCCGTGCTATTTTTAGCGTTGGCCGCGCTATTTTTGGCACAGGCCTGAGTTATTTTTAGCGCAGGCTCGAGCTAAATATAGCGCAGGCCCACGCTATTTTTAGCATGGGGCTGACTGTTCGTGTCCCAAGGTCGGGGCTGTCCCAAGTCCCGCGCTATTTTAAGCCAAGTCCCACGCTATTTTTAGTGCAGTCCCGCGCTAATTTTAGCACAGGCCTGCGCTATATTTAGCGCAGGCCCGTGCTATTTTTAACGGAGGGCTGACTGTTCGTGTCCCGAAGTCGGGACTGTCCCAGTCCTGTGCTAATTTTAGCGCAGTCCCGCGCTAATTTTAGCACAGGCCCGCGCTATATTTAGCGCAGGCCCATGCTATTTTTAGCCCGGGACTGACTGTTCGTGTCCCAAAGTCGGGACTGTCCAAGTCCCGCGCTAATTTTAGCGCAGGCCTGTGCTAATTTTTGGCCCTAGGACTGCTGCACTTGAGCCCGACCACCTGGCCTTTCCACTATAAAAAGAAAGGCCTCGTCACTCACAAGACACAGATCACGCGAGAGCAAGCTGGCGGAACAGCGAGGAGCAGTGGGAGCCAAAGCCAGGGCACTGGGATGAGTAGGAGGGGAGGCAAGCTCAGCGAGATTGAGGCAAGCAAGGGGGAGAGGTAAGGGAGAGTTTGAGCAGCTTTCGGCAGGAGCAGCAGCCAGGGTGTCTCATTTTGAGCTGCTGCATGCTCACACTCGTCCTCTTATCCTCATCTCCCTTTCCTCTCGTTCCTTCTTCCTCCTCTTCCCTCTCTCACTCCCTCTCTCCCTCATTCTCTCACCAGCTGGTGAGTTCACTCTCATCATGCTCTTGCTCGCGGTTTGGGATCTGATCGGGATTTTCCATTTGGCTTAATTGGCGCACTCGCCCAGATTATCCCTGGACGGGATCCTACCATAATTGCAGATTGATTGATGTTTTCCTTGGTGCGATCGCGCGCGTCATCTGAAAATTATTGCTGAATCAGAGATTGTGCACTCACACACACGTATTGTATCTGAGATTCTTGCTTCACCAAGAGACCTTGTGTGAGGTTTATTGTTGAGAGAACTCGGCGCCCCTGATCGCTGCTGCCATTTATGATTGGTGTGCCAGTGCACGCTTGACTGATGATATTGCCAATTTTCGAGACTGATATTGCCAATTTTCGAGACTATGTATCCATGCGCACTAGCAGCCAATTTCTGATTCGTGTGACCATGTCCACTGGGCTGTGTGGTTCAGATCTGTGCGCCCACACGCACCCAGTCCATGCGCCACTGTTGAGCCTGTGATCTGTGCGCCCACGCGCACTCAATCCACTGTTGAGCCTGTGATCCGTGCGCCCACGCGCACTCAATCCACTGTTGAGCCTGTGATCCGTGCCCCCACGCGCGCTCAATCCATTGTTGAGCCCGTGATCTGTGCGCCCACGCGCGCTGTTTGGGGAGCCATTTTCAGAACCAGGAGACTGCGCACTCATGCGCGCTGTTCGGAGAGCCATTTTGGAGCCAGAAGACTGCGCGCGCGCACGAACTGCTTGAAGAGCCATTTCGGAGTCCGAGGGCTGTGCGCCCGAGTCCATTGCCTTAAGAGCCGATTCTGAACCAGAAGGCAGTGTGCCTATGCGCACAGTGCGTAGGGGCTGATTCGGAGCCAGAGAGCCATTCGCCTGCGCATACTGTGTGTATGGGCTGATTTTGAGCCAGAGAGCCATTCGCCTGCGCATACTGTGTGTATTTGCTGATTCCGAGTCAGGGAGCCATGCGCCTTGCGCACATTGTATGTGAGGGGGGATTTTTGGCCAGAACGCCGTGCGCTCGCACGCACTGCATTCAAAGGCTGATTTTGACAAGGAAGCTGTGCGCTCATACGCGCTGTATTCAAGGGTTGATTTTGACAAAGAAGCTGTGTGCTCTTACGCACTGAATTTAAGGGTTGATCTGAGAATTTTGCCCTGATGATCATGCACCTGAGTGCCTGCAGGCACTCAATCTGAGAACTTTGCCTTGATCCGTGAGTTTTGCTTTGATGACCTGGGCACCTGACCTGTGAGCCTTGCCTTGAGATAGTGCAACAGCGAGCACTCAAATCTGTAAACTCGGCTTTGATGATTTTCGAGCCAGCAAGCTGACACGCCGATGTGCACTCAACTTGTGAACCTCGCCGCCGATCCTTTGGAACCATGCGCACGCAGCAGGCAGCAGCACCTCCGCCCTAAGTGAAGGCTGAGAGGTGCGCTTAGCTGCTTGGTCCAGCTATTACCTGGCTGTTCACGCACACGGCAGGGGACAGTATCTCAGCCCTAAGTGAAGGCTGAGTGGAGCCCTCAACTGCTGATCACAGCAAAGGCTATTTATTTATTTTGCGACCAGCATCGGCCCTAGAGGTGCCTTCAGATACCGGGCATACTGAGAGTTATTTTAATACGGGAACACACGCGCTGAGGGTTGCTGGTATTGCTGGACTGCGGTAAACTGTGGGCTGAGTTCCTATTCAATGCGGTAATGCTCGACTGCAGTGGATTGTAATACAGTAATTTGGTATTGCTGAAATGCAGTAAACTGTGGGCTGAGTTCCTATTCAATGCGGTAATGCTCGACTGCAGTGGACTGTAATACAGTAATTTGGTATTGCTGAAATGCAGTAAACTGTGGGCTGTGCGGTAATGCTGGAACAGCGGACCGTGCGTGAATAATGCCCTGTGTCACCACTTGATATTAGTAAAGCTGGGCAATACTTTCCGCACTTGGGACTTTGCTGTTTGAGCGAGTGCTCGAGCTTGTCGATATTATTTGAGCGCGCGCCCAGTCTCAGTTTGGCTGTTTGAGTGCGCGCCCAGTCTCAGTTTGGCTGTTTGAGTGCGCGCC